TCTGCCAAGGTGTCTCGACAATATAACATGTTGCTGACATGTGTCTCATACACACCTCCGATAAATACATAGCTGACGTGACGCGCAGCATTTTAACGCGGCAGGCAAAAGATCTTAGCGTTCCCTCAAGGTTTTCAGTTAAGACCCCTCAAGTGCTGTCAGACGACTGACCCATAGAGAAGCAGGTGCTATGAGTTTATGGGGGAGAACGATACAAAACTGCCCCAGTAGGGGTGACCGAACGAGCCCGCGAACAGGGAGCAACAAGCGGTGCAGTGCTCGAGAACAAGTTCTGTTAGCTGCCCGGTGAAACGTTATACGTGAATGACAAGATGGTGCATGATTTTCCATCAAAGCAGATGACAGAGCAGCAAGAACAGGTGGTACGACATGGGACCATGTTCAGCATAGCTGATGGCAAACCTGTCAATATGACTGCAACAGTGGAGTCAATCCTTAATCGGATAAAACCGACAAGCAATGTGGAGAACATCAAGTGTAGATAGTCCTCATGGCTCATAAGTCAGGCGAAGCGCTCCCCAAAGGCAGACGTGATGCGCCAAGGGAATTCAAGACTTAGAAAGGCCTTGTTGTCGTGTCGATGAACTAGAACTGGACAAAGTACTTTCGGAGAACCAAAAGCCTGCTGGAAGATCGCAGCTTTTGTGTCCTTTGTGGAACAAGCCCCGTAAAAATACTGACATGCGAAATCAATGCGAAGCTGCTGGCAATGAAGAACTCAGTGGCAGTATCGCCGTGCGACCGACGAAACGGCCTTTGCCCGATTCCGTGGGCTATCGTAAGCATATTAAAATTACGTACCTCTTCCGGCCCATCGTAACCCTCAATGACACTCTAAATGAAAAACGGGCAAAATGGCTGTTTCGGCCTCTCATAATTCTGAGAGTTGACTCAGACATCCCAGTCTGTTTATAAACGCAATTCTCAGTAAAACTTAAAGCGGTAGGTCTCCTGTCAAGCGAGGCGGTGGCATCTTCTGATGCTACATTCCTGTTTACTTCTATTCCTTATGATCTTGCAGTCGAGGCCATCGAGCCGCCCTTACAAAGCAGATATGATGAAATGGAGAATTACTTAGACACACCAAATCCTCTAATTCCCAAGATTCTGTTTCAAGGTGTTTTTCGCATTCGACGGAGCAATTTAGGAGCAACTGAAAAGCATACGGTAAAATCGGCTTTTATGGCCCCTAGAAAGGACATGAGAGCGGGAACCGCCCGTCATACAGGTGGCTTGGAGCCAACTTCCAGTGACATTAGGTTGATTTTACGGTTAGGGTTAGATTGAAGATTAGGTTTAAGGCCAATTTAGAGTTAACGATAAGGAAAGACAGTATCAACTTTGGAGTTAAGGTAGTGGCCAGTGTTAGGCGTAGAGTTCAGAACTAGGGCAGGGTTAGGGTCAAGATTATGGCAATAGGTAATTTTTCTACTACGGTAATTGTTGGGGTTAGGTCAGGGGAATATTTTGCCCAGAATTATGCAAAGGTTCACCTTTATTACTTGAGCAGGGGGTTCTTAAATGCCCTGTTTAGGACGCCATATAAATCATCCCTACCAAGCACACCAGTGGATTCACCGATTTCAGGACTCGTGGTTGAGGCAATCCTGTAACGGTTGGAATCGTTTATCCTCGACGCCAGAGGCCTAAAGAATGTTAGTCCCCTTATGTGGATGATAGCTCCGTCATCGAAGGGGTTTGAGATATGGCGATCAAGGAATATCTCAATACTGCCCTCCCAGTCGTACAATTTGCGATGGAGGAGGAAAACAACTAGCTGACGTTCTTTGATCTGCTTGCCGGTAGCAAAGGTTGTGGTGGACTGCAATTTTAGTATTCAGGAAAACGACAAGCGCAATGCAACTGCCGAGTTTTAACAGCAGCCACCCAAATAATTACGAACACTTTCGGATAGAGGCGCTATATCGACTCGTTGAGACGCATCTCAGTGAAACAGCCGACCAAGTTAACAAATTACGGGTATTCCGAGCGAATGACTTACCGCGCAAATCTCTCTACAGGCGCATGCCCAAACGAGACGAGAAACCAGGTCACACTGACCCAAAATTTTGATAAGCGGTCCCATACGTCAAATAAGTCTTAAAAGTCGTCCGCAGCGCTCTCACGTTACTTTATATGGGAGTTCAACACAGATCAGGGGCAACAAGAACGTACCAGGTAATAAGCCCGAAAGACCCATTGCCACAACAAAAAACGTTTGAAGACGTCTACCGTATTTGGTGCATTTGCGAACAAAACAACTACGTCAGAGAAACTGCGAGACTTCTCCAGACGTGGACGGCTAAGCATGGGCTATTAGTGGAGAGGAATGACACCAGCTCTCAGATTTAGGCTCGTTCGATAGGGCTTAGCAGCATGTCCAAGTTTGCAATTGTCGCGAGAGGTGACAATAGCGTGGGCTGCGATCTGCTTGAGCCATGGTTCTCCGACCCGCGGTGCATTAGCAAGAATGGTGACATGGAACCTCCATATGAATCGCTGCAACTTTGCCTGGACAGCGTAAGTGACGGCAGGGCGAGGGCGCAGACAGACATTACTTCCGGTGGCAGCACTGGCGAGTTAAATTGCCGATTAATTATCATGCCATCAATCAACACCAACGACGGAATTGTGACAGCTAGCGACTAGGATGCGGGCAAACAATCATTACACTAATTCCGACCACCGACGGTGAGTGCAGGAATTGTTAATTGTGGTGGGTATGTGGTGGCATGGCAACCGCATACTAAAAAGACTGCGCGCTCATCTTATCTATCGCGGCTGTCTCTGATGCCGGGCTGGAGTGGGATTCTGGAACGCCAGACCGATATAATTCTTGTCTCAGTACCTGCATCTCATTCTTCACAATACTACTATTAAATTGTATATTGTTTCCACCCGAAATATGGCATGGAGTTTGGCTCATGCGTGTCCTTACCGGCATGAGTAGGGATTCCCGCCCTCGCATATTACTGTTCTCCCTTTGGCAAATGAAGCCTTGTTACGGCAATAAAGCCAAAAATGCCCAGAGGTTTTTTGATCCATGGCCTTCAGTCCCTGTGGAGGGAAGCCAGTCGGCTAGCCTTATATTTTCATGAGCTAGAAGGCGCGCTGGTCTTTGCCCCCTGATTCTTATTAAATTTAACGCAAATCTTCCTCTTATTAACACCAGTGGATAGGCTCCACAAAACACAACAGGCAGAATTCTTCGTGGTCACTTCACCGCCTCTTGGCTGTACGTCAGACGTTCGCTTTCTTCCATTTTTCCCTGAAGCAATCTTTCGCTTGACAGCGGCTTGCCACCAAAATTGCAGGCATTTCAAGTAAAACGGCCTACTCAGCTCGGACTCCGTAGTTCTTTTTTTCCAATTTCTTCCCTAGCGCTCGAATTTCGAACTATGCAAATCGTCCCCTGCAATTTTAGAGTAGCCAAGGCATGCCTCGCTCTCACAAACCACTGCACTCTGTGAAATGGTGGCTAAACCTGATGACGGCTCGACGGTTTTCACCGTATGCTTCACGAGAGGATGAAAACTGTGACGATGACTTGCGCATCAGTTAAAGTGACATTTATTGTGTGGACGGTTTAAGGGCATGCGCAGCAATCATCTTGGAGGCTTTTAACCCCTCTCCCTGGTTCCTTTCCAAGCCCACTGATGCCTGGATCCGCCACAGCAAGCTCGGCGAAGCAAATATACAGATCGACCACCAATGCCTACGGACGATTCAAAGACGATAACCTCGGTAGCACAAGAAAAAAAGTCGGATGTGTGATATAGACCGCCACTTCCTAGGAGTAAGACGCCGTGAATTGGAGCAAAAGTCCCATTCGTGCCTCAGACACGTAACACTACTGAGAGTAAGCATGACATCCATCGCGCTCGGTGTGGACGAGGGGAGAGGTGGTCCTAGAGTCGAGGATCTCGCGGTCTATTGCTGTATGCGGGTTGAAGGTTGCAAGAGCACGCGAATAAGCGACCAATGGCCACTTTGGTCACCTGCGAGCGCCGTAAACAGGAGCTCCGATGCAAGTCAGGAAAAACCTTACTCCGTCTGATGGACAGAATATCCCAAAAAAACATTTGACGGGGAGTGATAGAATAGTTGAAATGGCGGAACCTCTGACCCAAGCAATTCCAGCCTGGGGATGCGGGCTTGTGGTGACGGTAAACAAGCCGGAAACGACCCCTACAACCCTCCTTTTGGTCGGCGTCACCCATTGGCTGTTGTCAGTTGCTGTGCAACTGTCCGGATGAACTACAGGCCTATAGCCCCACGGCATGTCAGGAGCACCCCGTATTCTACCCTGCATGTCTGGGAAGGGTAAAATATACACTCGCTGAGTGTTACACCCAGCACACACCAGAGAATATTAAACTCGGCAACTGCGGCGAGTGGAAATGTAATGACACGAGCACGGCGACGACTATGCTTGCCGATCGGGAGAAAATGAGGACATGCTTGACTTGTAAATGGTCCCGAACTCGAAACATCGTAGTTGGGGCGCTAGCTTACAAGCCGAAGTCAGTTGCAAAGTAACGTAACACAGACATGAGAAAAGGTACTAAATGCCAGGCGACAGACACGATGAATCTCCTACGGCGTCTATTTAGTTAGCACTTGAAAGCCTAATAAATAGGGTACCCGGCAAAGGCAGAAATAGGTATCCAAAAGCTTCCTGCTACACTGCAAAGGCCTATCCAAGAATAAAGCGGCACCAACATAGGATGGGTGGTGAAAACAGTTATATTACAATGTACAAAAAATTCGTCATTAGTGTTACAAATAACTTTTTGTAAAGTCAGTTTTAGCAACATTCAATAATTCAAGAATAAGCAATAAAAAAGAATAGACAGAGCTAAAGCTGCCCTTGGTCATTACATGGGTGGATCTGACCAAAAAGCAGGACCTGAACAGGGGATCCCGGCTTTTATATGCTAAGGCAAAGTAAAAGGTTATGGTCGTTGCAACAACAAGGGCTAGGATGTCCGCCTCGTGGTGCGCCTAAGTTTATCTGTCTCGGACGGACGCAAAGTGCTGGCCGCCTGACGACGCGTTGTGATAATGGACTCGAAGGGAGGCTGAAACGCAAGGAATGAAGTCAAGAATACAAGTGACCATGGATAGACGAATTCTAACTAAAGACCATTTGGCAATAGTGCACAAAAACGAACTCGGGCTAGGTAACCCTGTAAATAATGGATGGTTGAGTTTTTACGCAGAACCTAGTTAATTATACGAGCACCCATATCCTTCTTAATCCGAACTGATTTGGTGGCCATTACACAGCAAATTAAAGGTTCTGCCCAGCACATCTCCTATACACCAATGGTAAAGACAAGCACAGTATAACTGGGTGCTTGTCAGAAAACCTTGAAGACAGGTTTCTAGGTGGTAAGGCATCTGAGGCGGAATCCGAGTGCCTTGTAACAAACTTAGATCTGGGTTACCGTTAAAAGGTAAACGTGTGGAATCAGATGAGGGATTTTGGGAAGGCGTGTGGACAGAACTCCTATAACACGCGGTAAATATTACTAAGATAGAAAATATGAAAACGTGTTGACTGGATTCAGATCCCTCTATATCAGTTGTCCAGTGTGGTTGAGGGGAATTATGCAACAAAAAAGAGCAGCCATAAAGAATGTTACAGCGATTAATAAAACTACGGGTTGAATGCAAGCGAAATTCGATGCCACCAGAGAAAAACACCAGAGGTCAGTAACTGACCGGGTCAACGGATCCGCTGGCGGGAGCAGTTGGCCGATTATCACTAGAGTCCTCCTTGCCGGAAGACTGGCGCGAAGAACGTTTGCGGGGACGAAGAGACCAAGTTGTCCCAGATTCAATTGCAGCGTCATCACCTGGTTTATTTGGAGGAGCCGGATCAACTATCACAGCCGAAACTTCCTTGGCTGGAGTCTGCAGAGACACAGGTCTTGGGGACTTTGGCTTAGTGTTACTCTCTCCAGAAAGGGTAGTGGTGGTCTTCAGATTCGGGGAATCCGCGTCCTTTACAGCAGTTATCGAAGGTCGCGCTGGAGACGAAAAAAGCTGACGGGCTGCCGACGATGATGACCCGGTGGCAGTGACAGCAACCTCCCGCGCTGCGGAAAAGCGGTTGGCCTTCAACCGGGCCGGTGAGGCGAGATCCGCGGGCATGGCAAAACGCTGCGGGCTAAGGAGCGCAGCTGCACCAATCACAGGTCGTCGGGTCAAACTTGGTGACATTGTGTCGCTCTTTGCCGGCGAGTTCGTGGCAGAATTCGAGAAGTCAAGTTGCGAGAATGCATAGGAGCCATCGTCAGACAGCAGTTTAGAAAGTCTATCAAATCAAAAGTGAAAATGATTGTATACACTGGTATGCAGTAAACTAGTGGATAATTCGGAAGCGGCGCGTTTTGACGAAACTACAGTTGAAATTCATGTACGGATTAAGGAAAACCACTAGAATTCAATTGCTGCCACTAGAGAAAGACTGACTGATTGTCCTAAAATGAAAGAAAACTGGTGGTTGCAGCTGTTGGAGTCTATGGAGACTGCTTCCAAAGCATGCATGAAAGGAAAAAAACTGACCGTGACGTGAGCAATGGTTATTCGTGCTATATGAGACGGCCGGGTTCGAATTACAATGATTTTCATGTAGCTCAACGACTGAGTAATGGGAGCCACTGATGAAAACGCTGTTTTACAGTGCTGTCACCTATTGGTTTGACCTCATCTGTGCGCCATGAGTATGGATGGCTGAAGACAGGATGAATAAGATAGGTACGACCGAGGCCCCCGTTGCCCCTCTCTTTGTCGGTCCACCCCAACGAATGAACTGTCTTCAGAAGGACACGAGCAATGTGGTGAAAATAATCGTAGACCAAGCGGGTCGCCAATACGTCTCGAATCGAGTTACGTGATTGGGCACCTAGTTGATATTGGTGTTGAGGGTACAATGAAAAGATATCAGTCCATAAACGTGTCACGGGGAGTCAAAATGAGTAATTTTCAAGCAGATGATAGTATCCATGCTGACAAGACAAAAGAAGCTAAGAAAATGTCAAAAAAAATACAGGGGAGACAGAAATTGGGAGAACGTACTCCTTGAGCTTCGAACTGATACATTTGCTGTAATCTAGGTTTGGCATAACCTTGTTGCGAAGTAACTTGCGTCGCCACTTGAGGACAGGACATCGCGAGCGTGCACAGGCGCAGTCCAGTGGGTAGCGGCAGGATGTATAATCCACATCGAAGGGGATAGTCAACTCTACACCCGGTGAGATATCTTGGATCGTACGAATGACTACGTGCATTTTGCCGCAAACGATGAAGTGGTCGAGCTATAATAGATGACAAATACATCGATGGGAGGGACGCAAATTAAAACTAAAATAGACGTTCATACGGGCTACGAAAAACATGAGTCGCGTGACCGTCACAATGTAAGAACCGTAATCCTGGTTACACAATCCGCACCACACCGAGCAGACACGAAAGTCTGGTTGTAAAGGAAGCAAGGTTATCTATGAGCAAAATTCGACCAACATAAACGCGAATACTCGCCTATTGCATTAGGCAGGTTACAAGTACTGTATGAGGGGAAGTCGTACCATACTAAACTTGACGGGGCCCAGGTAGCCGGATGAATAAAACCGAAATTTAAAAAGATCAAAACATTAAAACGGACTGTAAACAAGTCTAGTCTTGTTGTACAAAAACCAGAGGATGGACGGTCCACAGAACATAAGTAAACTCGAAGCCTACCTTGCAGTTGGGTGTGCATGAACGCCGAATGAAGCGAGCATCGTTACCAAACTGAGTTGCATCAACAGCAACCCCGTTATCGCCAAAATCGTTGTACAAAATAACGTAACGATTGTACCTTTGGGTGAGGAGAGGAAAGACAACACAATACTAAACGTGCAGTCGTTAAGGCCGAGGACTAAGACATAACAATGATACCATTTCAAAATCAAGGTATTAAATCAAGCTGCCGGTTAGACAATAGCAAAGACCGCCAAGCCTAATGGCAACTTCTAGCATGAGACAAAGACGATAATTTCTAGGCATAATGTACGAGAGAATTCCCCTAGCTAAAAGTCGCAAATTTGGCCAGTGAAGAATGGCAAGTCGCAGTTCCTGATAAAAAAAATAGAAGGGATAACTGAACCAAGGGTTTCCCGTCTTAGAGAACGCAGTCGGCCGACGCACGTTTTCGATTATTCGCCATCAGACCTGTACACTAATATACATCGCGCTCATAATCTTCTGTCGACGAAACAACAAAAGGTGCAGTAAGTTACATTTGGATCATGAATAAGAAAGCTCATGCTTCAGACAGCCTAGTGTTACAATTTCCTCTCAGAGGCCAAAATGACTTGAAAGGAAGACCCAGATATGCGTCTCGATGAATAAAATTGCTAACACCAATGAAAACATCGTCTTAAAGAGGTCTGAAGTTTGCTTACTCGGCGGTCGGATCCACGTAGTGTTCATATTCCTCCATAAGCATAATTCTTCCACGCAGTTCCGTGACAACCTCGCCTCGCGAGAGGCGTACTGAAGATTCCAAACCCTAAAAGTAACCAAAGATCACTAAGGGCCTTGAGCACGAATTAAACCATATGCGTTATACATGTTTGCCACAGGGATTGACTAAATTCTTTTGGAAGATTACAGTCCTCGACGACTGTCGCTAAATGTTTGGAGCAGAGACGGGCAACCAGCACTGCGCAGAGGGTACATTTGAGAGCGTCTGACTGCGCCTGCAGCTCAAGGTGTTTACAAAGGCCAGTCCGCTGGAGGACTCCGAAGCAGTGAAAAATCCAACCGCGCCCACCATAGCGTCACCAACCTTTATTGAAAACTTATGACGCCTAATGGTCTTATGTGGATGAGAAAATGACTATTCTATAGCGCCGTCCCCGACATTTTACTTGCTCGCTTAGGCCACAGCCGGCCATGGCCCGTAGACCACTGCGAAACTGAGAAATAGGCAGGCCCTAGGTCTGACAAACAGGCGGTGGAGGATAAATGGTAAAACCTTTCGGCATCGATCATACGGGTCCGCTAGCTATAACAAGACAGTGCATGATGAACTTTGCCCGCCATACAATAAACTTTTATCCAGCACATAGCAGTCCTGGGATCTTGAACTAATCTGCCGGAGGGGCGAATGAGAAAGCCCACTTTAGAAGAGAGGAACTGTGGAGACCCCTCCGTCAGCCAAGCGGCGCTACGCAGTCGATGTTCGGCAAGCCACGGCACAAGAAAGAATCCATGGTCCAGGTTCTCTGGTTTGACTAACTTGTACGGCATTTATCGTGACTGATAGGACCGGCTCCATGTCGTAGGCGGACAGCGTCGAAGGTAATCGTTCTTCATTGTAGTCGGTCGGAGTCGAAGTTAATTCAAGTGGGCACAGCAGGCCAGCAAACTGAAGACAACTGGGTACAGAATATGTTCGCAACCAGTTTTTGCCATGCTTGCTTACGTCTTCAGTTGAGTAGCTCGACGCTATCGTTAATGACGGCTGGAAACAGGCACAATCGGACCAATAGATTATCAATACGTGGTAAGGGAAAATGAGAGGATTGGCTCTTGACTAACTGCACAGCCGTTTGCTGGAAACGTGTTCGGAGAGATGAATGAGAACACCACGGACCAAATGCTCTAGAACCGGATATGTAATGAAAGCATGGGTCATGCCTCGCATCCGTAGATACTGTACCTCCGGCGGTCTCTTAGACTCGTTGGATGGTCCTCGGACTGATTTTTAGGTCGATTCCAGTGGTTTTGACGAAGTCGGAGGTCACACGTGCTGTTCGCTCCCTCCCTTACCTTATCCGGTACACAAACGTTCGACTAAAGGCAGCAGAAATCGTCGATTAGCGCAGGAGGACCACCGTCTACCGCGGATAAGCGGACATCCCGAGAAGATCATCCTTGACCATAAGAAGTGCACTTACATGCCCACTTCTATTGCCTTCGTATTTACTTGTACTTGGTACGGCTGCGATCACGCCTGATCTAGCCAGCCTCGATGATGTCCCGAAGTACACCTCCACACGCGTGACGACCCATGACAGCAGATCGGGACAGCTCAATCCATTCTCTTCGCTAACAAGGGAGATCGAATACCGAAGGTCCAAGAACCACCTCCATGTCTTGACGGACTGTGTCGAACCAGGTTCTGAGTTGATCCCCTCTTCGACCCCCCTCCCCCCCCCCAATGGGGTAACGGTGCTGTATCGAGGGCAGTAACACTGGGCTACTGAGGTGGACGAAGAAGAACACGCCCAAACCGCCTCAGTCGTCTTTCTTGGATGGCTTGAGAGATCCTTGCGATGGCGCCGCAGCGACTGCGGACTGCCTCATTTGAGACGAAGTTGATGTACTTCACTCGATGGATGGTCTCCGAGCGGTGATGGCCAAATACCTCCAGTTTTCCCTCGTCCCCCACGCACACAGCGCAGCATTCACAACCATAGAGGACAGATCCGACCGCGAATCTTAGTAGCCATGGAGATGTCACGTCGGATCCATGGACATTTTCTAAAGCTTGAGAAAATCCGGTGGGCAGCATCAATTCGGGAGACAATGTCATCCTTACTCTGCGCATTCGGCAGTAGCCTGGCCCCGAGGTATTTAAAACTGTTTACTTCTTCAAGTTAACAGCCATCAATCCCGAGAGGTGCCTTCCCTGATCAGGAATGCACCTTGAAAACACTAGCCTTCCCAGCGTTTATGGATAAACCGACCAATTTAGCGTTCACCATGGCACCCGGTCACCCTTTCACTTGTTCACTTATGACAGCACAGACTGCAGATCACCAAGACTTAAAGCAAGTAAGGCAATATCTGCGGCCCAGTCGAGATCAGTCGGTCAGTGTCCGGGCGCAAATTCAACGCCATCACTTTCATGTAGGGCAATCCTGAGAATCCAGTCAATAGCGTAGTTGAACAGAATGGGCGACAGGATACAACCCTGCCAAACGCCAGACCGAATACCAGACGGTTAGGAAAGATTGCTGCGGACCAGAACTTGCGCGGTGGTGGTGCGATAATAGGCCTTGATCATGGCGATGATTTTTGGCGGACACCATCTAGTGCCATTATCCGCCATAGGGACACACGATGGACGGGGTCGAACGCTGCGGCAAAGTCAACAAAGCAAACGGCCGTCGGTTGCTGGTAGCTATGGCGAAATTCGAGAATGCGCCTTAGTGTGAATATCTGGTTCACGCATCCACGTCCGGCACGAAATCCAACTTGGTTGGGCCTCGTCCTAGAGTCAGGCACGTCCTGGAATCGTCTGAGTAGGAAAATAGTGGAGATCTTCGCAGCAACGTCGATGAGGCTTACGCCACGGTAGTCCTCGCATCTTGTCTTATCTCCCTTCATGAGGATAGGTACTAGGATGCCTAGGTCCCAGTCATCAGGAGGGGGGGGGGTCGTATGGCACTGCATAGGTTGGAGGGAAGAAACTCCGTTGCAGAGAAGAGCAAGGGCGGGGTGGGTATCGAAGTTGAGATGTTGCTCGAAGTGCTCACGCCAGCGCTTGACTTTGGCCGAGTTGTCCGCAGTAAAGCCGCCATTAACGTCGCGAACAGTCATTCAGTGTAGAGGGCTTACCACTAACTTGGCGGATCAGACGGTGGAGCTTTCGAGTGTCACCAACGTTCGAGGTCTGTTCCATGGAGGTCGCTACTTCAGCTCAATATTGCTCCCGGGCATCCCTGGCCGACTTTGCCGTCATCTTTCGAAATTGGCGGAAGGACTCATCATTACGGGACCTTGCTCGAGCCGTCTGAGCAAACAACTGCTGACTTCTTCCGTTGACCCAGTCACTGCAGCGTCGCTGGGTATATCTAGGGATTTTCTCAGCTGCCCCATGGATTGACGTTCTCAGTGACAACCACTGATTACTGCCTGCTTCGTCGGCTCGGGTCATAAAACAGGAGGTCCAGGGAATCGTGTATTGTCTTAAGTCAGAGGAAATAGGCTACACTGCTTGGCAGTACCATAGATTCTGATGACGAAAAGCAGCGTTGGTGCTAGTCGATACAGGTGAAAAAAAAGCAAGAAAAGGATTGGACGTACCTTATCGTTGTGATCAAACAGAACTAAGCGGCACAGTGGTGTTCTATCAAGGCATGTTGGTGGAAGACGCTGATCACGCTCGCGACCGGTTGAGCTAGAGGACAAACAGAAGTAAGTGGTGCTTTACTATGCGTAATACACATAAAAGGGGTAATTAGGCCTCCCGAATGATGACGAAAATAGCTTACATGCGTTCTGAAATGCGGAGAAATAGGGCGTTTGTGTATGTACTGCGGCTAGCCTCCTGGTAATTTTTTGCCCAAGCTGCCCCCAAACTATTCGGAAATGCTTCTCGAGCGCGCTTTTCCGACCGGTGTCTTTGAAGGTCCAAAAAGAGGGAGCGTCTAGAAAGGGACGAAGGATGCAACGACAGAGTAAGTAGACAAATGCAACCGGCACCGTGCAGCTTTACGAAGAGTAATGAGAAGGATGAACTTAATCCACATCAATGTATAAAGACAAAGTTTTGTCTTCAGTTACCGACGGTCAGGTCCGCTTTGGATTCGACGCAACTAGCTCAATATTGCCTGTGTGAGCGAAAAAGCGAGATTCAAGTAGCACTGACTGATTGCTGGAAGAGGGACTTCGTTGGTTTTGTTTCGGATTCATACTCACAGCCATCCTCAAGAGCAGCAGCGACAGGGCAGGTGCGCAGGCAGTGGATTTTCTGTGGTATGGTTAACAAGCGGTGCTCGAAGCACCAATCAACGCGCCTACATCATTGGTGTTCGTAGTGAGTCCGATTACCACTAGATAGTCCTGTTTCTCATTACCGACACCTGGAATATTATCCAGTCACACGCATCTGCCGGGTTAATTACCCTGCCCGGGAAATCTTAACGACGCATGGATTGGGTGGGTACCGTTGTGTTGACTGGCTGTTGATCTCAAAACTAACTGGTTTAAACCAGTACAAGTGGTTCTTCAAATTCCAAACTACTTTTCCGGCGTCTTACCTAAATGAAATTATGGTAGGCTGTCCAGGAATCTATGAAGTGTTGTAATATTCCTGGAAAAAGTGCACTTTTAGTAGGATCAATATGCTTATGAAGGTAGATGACAGGCATGTCTAGGCAAGCGTCGTTAAACCACGACTGGTATTCTAGACCAGCACTTTAAGCTTTAAAACGAATTTCAGAAAGACAATGTCCTTGGGAACGGCAATAACGAATAAACTCTATGAAGCGGACACAAGGACGCCATCTCTTCCGTGAACGATAGGCGGATTCATGTTGGCATTGAAGAAACAGGAGTGAGAAAGTAAACAACCTGGGGAATTATCTGAGTACGGTTTTCTTAAGAGGTCCGTATATACTTCGCGTAAAATCCAGACAGCAGTATGGTAATCAAACCTATGCAGTATAGATACTATACATTGTCCTTTGCGGGGTGTACGGAGTGTTCAGAAGGGGATATCCCGTGTTGGAATGGGAGGTCGTACCATGAGCTCGGTGTGTGTGGTGGTTGCTCGGCACGCCCCTTAACTGACACCCAGCTCCCAGCTGTGGTTCCCGAAGTTAGGTCATGCTTAACCGCCACACCCCGGCAACGGCCCCGACCGGCGGGCCGAACCAGATGAGTATCCAGGGTGTCTCCACAAGCGTCAGTCCTGTCTCATTCTTCCTACTCTTAAACATAAAAGTCGTATGGAGTGCTCGACAGCGATCCCGTTGGCGACGCATTAATTAACAACGCGATTCGGCAGCCGCTTTGGGACGAATAAACAACTCTACTTGCCTCCCTCATGGCGGAAGGGGCGAGAAAAGGCACCCCAAGCAATTTCAGAATAATCAACCTATCTGCAATTTGGCCGTGGATCATGAACATAAAACATACGATCAAAATACCATACGAAGCAAAAAATCCTGACTTCCTCCCCATCTCCCTCACAGTCTCCCCAAGTGACACTGTCCACTCTGGCAGCCTGTAATGTTCGTCCTCTTTTTAGACAACTTTCTATCGACCAGAAGAAAGGATAGCTACGGTCTTTCGCGAACTGGTGCGTTGCAATGTGGACAATGCGGTTCTGCGAGACCTGGAAAATGTTGGCACAGGCTAGATCTTCTGGTGCGGACGTCCAAAGGCAGGGTGATGGAATGCAGATGTCGTTACCGCAGTAAATTTATTTTTACTTGCTTTGATGGGACCCCGACGGATCTTTAATAAAAAATTATCAAAATCCGCTGTACTGCGGCCGGTAAATAAGTACCATAAGATCCAGTACTGACCCGTCACCCCCGTCTCACCTATCCACACTGTCCCAGAACAGTTGGCCGTCGCATGAGCCCATATGGTCGCATATGTATTCACGAAAATATCCACTTGAACATCGGAGTCTAGACCCCTTCATCACACTTCACTTTAGCTGTATATGACAGTTCATACGTCGACTTCGACGATGTCCACGACGTGCTTCACAGCAGGGTAAGGACAGGGGCGATGACTTGCGCGTGAATTAGTTTATAATGAGTGTAGATTTGCGCAGCATCTGCCGCACTCCTCCCCCACCTGAAAGCGGTGTCAAGACAGAGTCAAGGAGGCCGGAGGCAGGGGAGGGCGCAAGTGGATGGCGCGGCCGAGTCCGCGCCTTGGCGCTTCACTTCACTCCCTGGCCCACACAACAATTGACCAGGATTTTAACCAACAAAAACACCACGACGGATCAGGAGGATGGCTGGACAGCCATGTTCGCGATCTGTATGCCCCGCGAGAGTGCAAGCGCATCTGCCGGCGGGGAACCAGGTGCTAGAGAACTGCCAACGCATAGCAGGCTGCGAGAGTCGTGATGTGTCGATCCTGGTATAGCAGACGCTTGGTACATGTAGTAAAAACCAGGTCATTTGGAGTCGTTCAGCCTTGTCTGCTACTGCGCCCAATTCCATCACCAGATAGTTAACAGGCTCGGACACTCGACTGGTGTATAGGAGACGACAGCGAAAGTAAGGTCGATGCTGAGGAATCCATCCCGACGGCAGATCAATGCATTCCTCGCTGAAGTAAATCAGACACCTTTGAACCTATCACGAGACGCTATCAGTCGTCGCTCGAACGTTGCCAACTAGTCGGATAATTCAGTTATATCAGGACTGATAAGCATGGCTGCGGTGGCTCCATCTTATTGCGGCTTTTATGGCATCATCACAAACGTGGGGCCGGAGCCGCCCTTAAAGTGACCTGGTACGTGTGGCGGGAATCAGATCGTATGTAGCACGATGCGCCCACCGTATAGAGCACCGGTGGACGTCGCCGCCTGCAATGAACCCTCGTTGTCTATTGCACAAAAGGTTTGCATTTAAATGCGTTATTATGTGAAATACTTCAAAGTTCCTTCCATTAGCAAAAATGTTGGAGCCGGACTTAAGTTATTAAGGCCCAAACAGTTTAACATGGGATTTTTAATTTCAACCTCAAGGGTGGGAGGATAAAATAAATTCAGACGCAAACCGTACCTGGGTCGCTTCCGACGCTCCAACGCAGACATGCTGGCAGATTGACGATGAACAAGAGGGCTGTTCTCGGGAGTCGCGTTTTCTGACGTTGTTGACGATGCTCCGGCGGTCTCAGAATGATCGGCGGTGGTCGGTGAGTATATGCGGAGGGTGTTGTGGTAAGACAGCGGGAAAGACCTGCCAGGAGTACTTCGTGGCGTAAGCGAGTCAGGCGTCTGGCTGCTCCCCCCAACAGCAATAGTGCTGGGTGTGGATGGTCCAGAGAGCGAGTCAACCGACTTGCAGGCTTGCAGACCACCGACAGGTGACTTTCTGGTGTTAATTCTCGAGGCATCAGAGTCTACGTATCAAAAATGTGCTATAAGGTCAGATTCATGGTCATCCCTCACAACAAGCAGAAAAGAACAATTGTTTGACAAAATTCCGTAAAAGTCAGTCTTCCTAGAAAGGGGACTAAAGGTCTAGATCGCAAAATGCCTAACTTCCTGAAGAAAGCGATACGGAAAAAAACATTTCATGAGAACGGCTAAAGAAAAGCGACCTCATAATGACAAGGGAGCGGACTTACAAGAAGTCGTACTCAGGTCTTGTTTGCGCTTCGAGGCTCTTGGTGGAGACGGCATTGTTAAATTTACGTCAGTGTCTTCAGCTTCCCGCCAGCAAATGAGTCCACCCTCACTCTACAGAAAAATAGGAAAAAGTGAAGTTTGCACGGAAAAAAGCAAATGCCGATTGGAGTCTATCTCAGAGGTAAGGCGTGTTCAACTTATCTCGATGTCTGTCAGCGGGTCTACATGAAACCCGGCAAAAATTTGCAGTCCTATAGCCAGAAGCAAGACTGCGTGCCATCAGTGAAGTATGGCAACGCACAACGAAGGGGTAACCGAGAAATGGCTAAACAAAAAGCAGACCTTCGATTGTTCGCTATCTAACTATTAGCTTGTCGGAACGAAAACGATTTGCCAAACTACTTCAAGAACGATAAGCCGTCCGTGTTCAACAACGAAAACTACTACTGTTTCGAGAGCACAGTGATGACTTGCACGTGATTTGGTCCTTTGTGAGATTTTTGTAGCAGTCAAGAGGAGGACCGATACGGCAAGTCATTCAGCGACCCTTAAAGCACGACTTTCGGCAGACTGGCTTTCAATGGCGAAGAGGGATAACAATAAATCTGCGTTGTATCGGTCTCACTCTCTTCCACAACCCACCATGTGCCAGAAACAAGTCCGAGTCAATCTGCCCGGATGCATCCTCCGTTGACGGTGAGACACAAGTCAAGGATCCACTACAAAAACTATTCATGAGCCTTCTCATTCACATGCCAACTAGCTGACCCATCAAACGTAATTTTTTTCGTTAAATAACGATAAAAGATAAAATTACAAGTTAAGAGCATTTGGGCATTCCAGGCAAATCAACAATGAACGTTCAGGGTTAGGACTGATTCTTCAATAGAAAGCTCCTACCGATTTACTGCAGGTGGAATGCATTCCGCCAACGTCTGTATGAAGTCTGTCCGAAGCCACAGGGTTGGAATCCACAATAAGGCCTAGCTGGCGCGCTCTATCAGTAGCATTGGCCAAAACCTGAGCACTACTCATACTACATGGGGAAGTCGATGTAGCTTGAAGATCCCCCTGCTCCAAACCAGACAAAAGATTTGCAGACAGACGCTGCTGCATATTGACCCGCAGTTTCTCTAGCAGGGCAGGATTGATATTGCGGGAGGAACACGTGTGGCATTTATAAGATTCAGGCTGGAGATGGCTGGAGACCGTTGATGGACAAGACTGGTCCACAAAAGTGCCTTCGGCTGACTGAGAGTCACTGAAGACCGCCTCCATGCAGTCGTAATGCTGCAACAACCTACAAAACCACGAACAGCAAGCCTTGGTAAAAGAAAAATGGGGTTAAAACTTGTTATTTCGCTGCTTTCTAAGAACCAGTTGAGCAGCATTGAGGAAAAACGGAACAAACGTGCGCCCTGCAAACGTGAAGACGCGATAAAGGCGGAAAATATTCATCCAATAGCTAACATCCCAAAGTATCTGAATTATTATACAATAATCGTACAAACAGTGCGTGACCTATCTCATGAAATCTGATAACGGAATCTGATGAGAGAATTTCTGGGCGCCTTTAACGTTGAGGATTTTGTTCGCTCATCTACTTCCTTCAATAAAATGTCCTTTTCTTGTGCAGAAATTGTGTTTAAGTAATTATATAAAGTAAAATATCAGTTGATTTTAGCGAAAATGGACGTTGGAATATATTCGGGCAATTTCATATGCTAATACATGTCCTAGACTCCGGTTACTTACTTGAGGGACTTTTTCATTGAGAGGATAGTAATTTACCCCCGAGCGTTTTAATAAACAGATTAAGCTGAACTGGAAAATTTATGTTATGTCCGATGTTAACCATGATAATCAATCTGCTAAGACAAAGGTCATTTTAAGAAAACTAGAGGTTTTATCAATTCCTAAATGTCAACTTAGCAGATCTGTGGGATCTGGTCCACAAAAGTGTAGTAATAACGCAGATAGGGATTCCCTCGTTTAAGTGGGCTGAAATTGTTTTGCCGTTTGGAAAATTCTACCTGATGTCACATAGATTACCACCACGTAATGGTCATTTCCAGCCTTAAACATATGAAGCACTACTTTTCGTGTAGTTTAGCTTCTGTGTATATCTTATTCAAAAGTAGGACGAGCAAAACATTTATAGTTCCAGCAAAATATCAGTATTTATATGGGCACTCTGCCGTGCATTCATAATCGAAGAACGGAGTCTAAAAGCGAGCAAAAACAGCGGAAATGGCCTCAATATATAGAAAAAGGCGTGTTCTTACGTTCACGGTAGAAAAA